AGGTGAAAAACACCGAAATCCATTTTGCTTCTCCTTCCCACGCTTAAGAGATCACTTGTAGGCCAGGTACATATTTTTTCCTGAGATCAGGAGTGGAGAAGCATCTTAAAACAAAAATCTTACTTACCATCACCCTGCATGTCTGAAGTCCATAGTGTCAGGTTATCACGTAACAACTGCATGATAAGCGTAGAGTCCTTATAGCTTTCTTCACTCAGCGTATCCAGTTCTGCAATAGCATCATCAAAAGCTGCTTTTGCCAACCTACAAATACAAAAGTAAATCTGCTTTGCTACAGTTTCAACCCAACAACATAGCAATCTGATTAACCTAAAGCCCGAGGCGAAAACACTCCCAACTTTAAGAACAACAGGACAATGGAAGTAGATGTTGAGAGAAGTCACACTCATTCATGAGAAGTTTGTAAGAGAAGGCTAAATAGGCATTTCCTGGGATGGTTGAGAACAGTGACCAGCATAAGGCCACCCGTTTAATTCAATTAAGAAATGATGTTCTGGCAATCGCTCATCCGACACTGAGGTAAAATTTTCTGAAAAGACTGAGAAATGTTTCGTAAAATTCGTTTTGAAAAATTAACAACATTTAGGTTGAACGATTTCGGGTTTCATTTTTCAAATGCTAGAATTCTCAAGCACTGATCGATACCCTACAGCACACCAAAGGAATCCACCTCCTCAGATATTACTCACCTGCAGGCACGATCAGGAGAATTAAGAATTTCATAATAGAATACAGAAAAGTTGAGAGCAAGACCTAAGCGGATGGGGTGCGTTGGCGGAAGTTCTGTCATTGCAATATCACTAGCAGCCTTATAAGCCACCAGGCTATTCTCTGCTGCCTCCTTCCTGTCATTTCCTGTAGCAAACTCAGCCAGATACCTATGGTAGTCCCCTTTCCTGAAAGAGGAAAAAGAAAGCACAATAATCTTACGAATTTTATATTTATGTTACCCACCAGCGAAAAAAACATTTTGCCTTCAAAATAATCCTGAAGCAAAATGTATATCAACCACTGACCAACGTCTAGATATTACTGTAATATGTGCTTTAAGACCTTTAGGTCTGAAGCACAGGTGTAAACACCTATACAATGCTTAGTGAGATAGCTGAAACCACAATACTGCTAAGCTTCCTGGGCACTTAATAGGTATCGCTGGACTTGTGTGCCTCACACAGAGATAACTAAGTTATAGAATCAATTTTCTCAGTTAAAAAAAAAAAAAAAAAAAAAACCGAACCACCAGAGGAAAAAAACATTTTAGACATTTTTACAAAGGAAAGGAAATACTTGAGAAATGCAAGTAATATAGAATCACCCACTACACATCTGGGTGCGTTGGGAAAACTCTGCCCATTTGTCTTCACCAGCCAAAAACACGTGTACAAGGTACAGAATAAGACTTGCAAATTGACCCCTTTGCCAACGGACAGTATAAATGCCTCCTTTCGAAAGGAGGTACTAAAAATACGAGGTACTGGTACCAAGCAAGCTGATACCAGCAGTTACCCATGCCACAATCAGTTGAGATGTGTCAGACATCAAAACAACAAGAGAGGTCTCTCCAAAACCTTTTCCTCAGTGCAAACAAAAACAGGAAAGACACAGAAACTGTTTTTGCTGCACAGCTGAATTCACTCAACTGAGTAGAGAGAGAGAAGACCAGTGTTCTTATTTTTAGATATCTTTGTAGAGGATGGTTTGGACAGGGATGATCCTGTCAAAGGCGGGGGGGGGGGGG